CCCCCAAAAAAAATATTGAAGTGATTCATGGCCGTCTGCCTTTATTTTCATATGTGCTAATTTGCTTCTCACTGTGTGTTAGCAAATGTACCAGCAAACTTGATTTGGTGGTGAATTAAATAATGCTTACTTGAGTCTTGGAACACAGATGCTTTTTCCCCTAGGTAAATGCAGTTCTTAAGTGAAAACTGCCCATGCAGCCTGGTTTTAAGTTAGAGTCTGTGCATAAAAGCTTTTATGTGAAAGGATCCCTGCATGCTTAACAGTGATACTGTCCATTTGTCCTTCCTCTCTCCTCTGTCTGTCCTAAGTGTTATGTCAGGGTACACCAAACTTAGCAGAGAAAGCAAATTAATTTTTCCTGACTGAAGAGCGTATCTGATAGAGTAATTATGATTTGCCTCAGTTAACAGAGCTGATTTCTAGGCTATGGTCACTGCTTAACTTGCACAGAAGGTATTCTGGTGTCTGTAATAAAAATATCATGATCCTATTTCAGATTCTGTTCTGCTGCCATGCTGTGCATTCGCACTCTGTGGAGATATTGATTATGTTGACTACTAATTCTGAGGAAAGGGAAATACCCTTTATTAGAGTCAGACAGGAGCTATTATCTCAATAGTATCTCCTTGATTTGCTTGGCTGATTAGAAATAACAAAAAATGCTAGAAATGATTTTGGAGAAAACATTTTTGCATCAGTTGCTCCTGAGGTTTGAATGTCGACTTGTTTGTTGGCTGGCTGACTTCAAATGTGGCAGTTATGTGAATGAGGGTGGTAAGTGATGAAATACAATCCTGCCAACCCGTGCCAGTCTGCCTTAAGTGCACTGATGCTTTATGTGGAGGAAGATATCATTAGGTCACGTGGGGTAACTGAACTGGTGGACAAAAGAATTAGATGAACTAAATTAAACAGTGGCATCTTTTTTAGGTGATAACTTCAGCAGCATTACTTATGGCTCCTGGCCATAAGTGTTCCTGACCTAATTTTTTCAGGTTATATAGCAGTTATCTTTGTGTTTTTATTTGTTGCTTTTTTTTTTTTTAAATCAAGAAGAAAAACTGATTTGTCTTTCTTCAGAGCTAAAACCCTAACATGCAGTGTGAAATAGTACAGATACACCTGAATAGGTGCACCTGAAGAGGTGACTAGCCTATGAGAAAGAGCTCTGCTAGCTTGGGAGCACAAGCACACTGCCTCTAGCTGCTGCATGCTAGTGGGAAGAAACTTGTTTGGGAGAAACTGCTCTGGAGCTGTAAGCAGGTGTCCTTGCTTTCTGTGACATACGTTGTTTATTCTGAAACGTGATGCTTTATTGTCTCCTGCATTAAGAAAAGCAGGTAGCTGTGAGTGAGTGCTCAGAAGGAAAGAGACAGCTGAAGTGCTGCCAAGGAATATGTCAGTTGCCATTGTTTTTGCAGTGACTTCCATGCCAGCAGTGTGTGGGATACCAGTGAGCATGTGTTCATCAAACAGGATTGCATTCCACTCTCGAGTTTCCCACTGCCTTCTGTTCTTTTGAGTCAACAGTTCTAGTTAAAGCTTGTTCTGCTATATCCTTCCTAACTCCCATTTGAGCAACAAGACAGTTTAATTAATTGCTGTGTGGGAAGCTTGTATCTGTGACTGAGATTAAAGGCTCCTACTTTGAATAGAAATCTAGTAGACGTTCTTTCACTCTTAAAATCCCTCCTTTTTTTTCTTTTCTCTGATTCTGAATATGCAGAGCCAGTAGTGGATGATGTTCTTCATCCTACATGGCCCTCATCAGATCATTTAGGTTTTAGCTGGGTAGTGTGTGTTTAGATTTAAAATGCACTTGATGTATGGGGTCTTAGTATTTATGCTGACACTATGATTTGCTGGGCAGCATAGTTGACAAGCAGTCAGATTAGTCCATATGGAGTTCAGTGCTGCTTCTGTCCCAGCACTTCTTGCTTATAATAATTTGGGGACTTCAGCGTTGCAATATAGGTCTCTACTGTGTATGACATTCAGTTCCTCGTGGGAAGAGCACTTTTCCTCATTGTGTGGTTTGTAAGTTTTGCTGGTGGTATCTTTGGGTCAGCTTGTTGGGGTTTTTTGTTTCTTTGTTTGTTTTGTTTGGAGATTGATGATTTTGTAATGTTACAATCCTGGTGACTGATGTGGATTTATTACATGCAGAAGAGTTGTTCATGTTTGTAGGCAGCATGGAAAGGACTTCCCTCGCGCAGGTCTGAATCCCTGGTACTGTTGGATTCTTTCTTTGTCTGAAAAATATCTCTATGATAGGAATCTTTTGTGAAAACAGTTTATTTCCTGAGATATTTTTGGATGTTGAAATATGACAGGAGTTGTTACAGGTTTATTTGTTACAGGAAGCTGTATTCTCTGCGTGGTTCTTAGCTATCTAACAGAGCTGAACTTTTGTGTGAGTCATCAGGCTGGTATGTGGGTATCCTGCTTAAGGTAATTAATCAGAAGTGCTTTCCAGTTATGTTTGTGTTATTGAGCGTCTCAGACAAATACCTAGAAAGTGCTTGGAACTGCCAAGGAGCTAATGTAATTAAATGTGTTAAACATTAGCAGGTAAGGACCAGAAGTTTTGAGTGACTGCCAATGTATGCACGAAGTGAGACCTGCAAGAGGAGTCCTTATGTGTCTCTGAGAATGCAAAGTGCATTGAGAGTTTGGACCAACTGTAGAAAAGATCCCAAATGACTTTCAGGCATGGATGGAAGCATAGGGAATGATTTTCATGGAGAGACTCCAGGGGAACTTGGTGATCATAATATTTTCTTTATGAAAACTTGCAATGCAATGGGTATAAAATGTTCTTTGGTTTAGACAAAAGTTTGAAAGCATTGTTTTCTGGAAACAGTGAGGCAAATCTGTAAATTTGGTGGGGATGCCTGATGAGCTTCAGATCCAGAATGATTATCTTTTGATGTGGGAATCTTGGTACATATTGTGTTCATGAGCTCAAATAGGAAAATCAGAAATTCGTATCGGACCTTACAGGTCAAACAGAAGCAGGAAATACATTGGAACATGAAGGTGCCACTTTGTTTAGTCCATGACTTCTGAAATACACAAGCATGCACATAACGTTGCTTGAATTTTTATGCTGCTTGGTATTTCTAAGGTGCTCTAAACATGGGAATATTGAAAAGAAAATTGTGTTGCTCCTAGGTACTTCCAGCGGTGCGAAGTCGGACATGGGCATGGCATATGAGAGAGCCAGAGTGCACTTCAGCCCAGAGGAGGCTTCCAGCAGTCCTGCTGTGGGCAAGGTGTGTTGTTTCATTTGGAGAATCCAGCATATTTTTCACACTGTTCCTCCTTACTCTTCCTTTGAGCAATTTGAATGTATTAATCAGTGTATGAGTTGTGGCATTCGTTTTATCTTGTATTGGATGCAGCATGTTTTTGGTAACTGTTCAGGTTTTCTAGTGAAAATCTTGAAACTCTCTGGAATTCCCCCTGTGTAGTAAAGGCGATTTCCTCATCAAGACAAGGGAAATTTCCCTTGTCACTGTTGCAACTTCTTGATTTTTAGACATTACCTTCCTCTGACTCATGGAGAGGGTTGTTTGGAACCATGTTGTATCAGTGAGAACTACTGTACAGCAAGGAATTAAGGACTTGTATAAACCTGTGAACTTCCTGTCAGACTTTCAGTCGTGATTTATAAATCTGTTCTTGTGCTTTATTTACAAAGACTGATCTGGAAATTAGAGCACAGGAATATTCTGGGACCATTAAACTTTTAAAACCAGAATCTGAGAAGAAACTGTGTCTCAGTTTGCCCCCAATGGTCACTTTATCTTTCTCCATCTTTGCATGCTATGTTGATGGAGTTTGAGTTCCATGAAGTTGGCAGTTTCTGGAAAGTCACACTTTTCTCTTTCATAAACTGTAGCAAGTTTCTTTGTTTCACTAGTGTCAAGCTTTGCATAAAGGAATAAGATAATGCAATTAGGAAGCTGTTTCTGTTTAGGAAACCAACCTTTTTCTTTTTTTTTTTCTCCTCTCCTTAGGCCACCAGTTGTGGTGGTTGTGAGAACACGTGATATTGAGAATATTTGCTGCTTAGGTGCCAGTCTTAATGTTCAGAATGCTTGTTTTCTGTCTGTTTGATGCAGTCCATACTGAAGAAGACTGTGACAGTGACAAAAACTCCTTTAGCAGTGTTCCATTACACTGATCGTGAGCTTGCTGCACAGGAATCCTCTAGTAGCAAACCCATCAATGCCATCTTCGAAGCAGCGAAGAAAGACCTTTCAACCTTGATGAAACTTGATGTAAGTTATTGCAGGGAAAAAAAGGCTTTTCATCTCATTCTGCCAGGCATTAGAAAGTAAATTGTCTCCCAGCTACGCTATAGACCAGCTGAATGTTTTATTCTCTGTTCTGTTGATGTTATTAGTGGGACTGAAATAAATCTGAATTATTCAGCTGTTTGAAAAGCCCGTACTGAAGTGCACTGCGTGAATTTTTTCTCACTGTGCACACATTTGTGCATATGAGAAGTGTGCAATTTCTGCCATACTGTAATTTCATGCCCTTGTATACTGTGTGAATAAGCTATATGAAGGCATTCGGGCAGTGCCTAGATCTATTAATCCTCTTGGCATTGCACCTAAGTGTCTCATTTGATTTCAGAACTGAATGTCTGTGTTTGGCCGTCGGCTATGAATGCATTTCATAACAGTGACTGTGTGCCATGTCTGTTCCAGGTTTTAAGTGCCTGATGCCCTCACAGTTGTCATTATTGAATTCACCTTTCCTTGTCACCTTCATGTTCAGAATGAACAAGACTGTCCGTTTTCACTGTTCCTATGATTCCAGTTGCATTTCATTTCATTGCTTTGGAGTTGTGTCTGTTGATGGAGCTAATCACACAATTTGAAAATCGTACAGCTGTCTAAATTGATCACGGATATCCTACATTTATTGCAGTGTGTTTTAGTAACTGTTATGCACTGATGCTGCCAGAGGCTTTGGCACAGCCACTGCAACCTCCTCTTCTGGTTTAAGAGCTCTCACCAAATGACACCTGCTTTACTGTCAGCAGAATTTCAAGTACTTCAGTTCTGGATTCTCGTGTTTCTTGTGGATTTCTGACATATTTCTCTCACAAATTCAAAATCTTGTTCATGATCTCTCATGAGGTAGTGAGACTTGAGATGCATGCTCTGTGTTGTTGCTGGTTTTACTCAGACATTCAGTACTGTCTGTTAGTCTCCAGCAGAACTGTCTTAAGACACATGTTCAACTTTTCAAGCCTTTGTCAGCATGAAAAATGACAACCTGTTCTACAGGAAATTTGTGTAACAACTTGAGTAAAATAGAACTGTATGCTTTCATCTGCTCTGTTCAGCCTTGCATTCTTGTTAAGGCTGTTCTCAGGCTTTGCTTGCATAAACACTGTGTGTCCAGCATGCAGCTGGTAGTTTCCTATTTTGCCATTTCAGATCCCAAGCAAAAATTCCAAAATCACTGAAGCTACCAAGTGCAAAACATTCAAACATGCATTTTTGAACCTAGGCAAAATCTTTGAGTAATTAACAGCTAAGCGATTAGAGTTGAAGTTAATTGGAATAGTCTAACAGGCAATCTTTTAACATGAAGATCTAAATGATAATGTAATAGGGTAGGCTTTTTGAACTCTTGATATTATAGCAACTCTGGTTTCACAAGATAAGAATCTGCTGCTACATAGCTAAATGCTGGAAACGTTGTTTAAAGGTCATGGTTAATTTCTCCTGTATGGTGTAGCACAAGTTGATTCTTCCACGGGCAGTGGAAGAAAACTAACTCTGTAAAATTTATATTCAATATATTTACACCAATGAAAACTGAATTGTTGGAGCTCTTCTCTTAAATGAGCTCAGGTATTTTATTTCTTAGCTGACTGGAGGCATTTTGAGATGCTGTTTTTCAGAGCAGCCAATTGCAGTGAATAAAATCGATGTTTTGATGGCAGATGGTGCTGCTTTTTTTCATATCATGATACTGAGATAGAAGAAGAGATAATATAGTGGAGTGGCAGTATTATTTCAAATGACCCTTAGTTACATGACTACATAATTCAAATGTTTTTCCTTTGTATTAAATAACTTGAATTCCTTGGCAGTTTGTCATGGGCTCTTTTCAGTCTGCTACAACTCTTGTATATGCTTGGCTTTATCTGAAGTTAGGAGTTAAATGATGCTGGAAGGCATATCTTCTGCATGAGTTTTATGGGAATTGAGTCATTTTCTTAACCAAAAAAGAAAAAAAGTCTGTCCCAGTTAATTACTGCTTTCCTTTATAAGTGGTTTGTGTTTTCACTTCTGTATCATGAACCTCTACTAATATATTGTCTATTATGGTAACAGAAAGGTAGAGCCTCGCTGTGAAATTCACTCTGTTGTGTTAGAAACTTTCTTTACAAGCTTCTGGCTGGGAGCTGGTGTGGAGGAGGTTGATGCAAGGAACTTTGTTCAGCTCAAGCTACAAAACTGTGCAATGCTGGACTTGGATTTGCTGGTCTTCTCTGTTGGAAAGGGGAGATGGATCTTGTCTGTGACTCCTGTTTGTCAACTCTTTTATTGCCTCATCAGAGAGGTAATGCCAAAAGAAAGATTTCAAGGACAGCTTGGGGGTTGCTAAGTTGTCTTCTGTGCAGAATCAAACACTAAGTCATTCCTGGTTTTGTCTAAACTGTTCTTAATGATCTCTGGTGACAAGGGCTTCACAGCTTTGGTTGCAACCTATTTCAGTACTTCAGTAGTCTTACATAGGAAGAACATCTTTGTAAGGATTCTTAGAGCTAATGCAGCCAAAAAAAAGCAATGACAGTTTATAAGTAAGTCTGGTTAGGGAGCCTTTGTGTCTTTACTGTGGGATAATTTCATAATTAAGTATTTTATATAAGGATAGGTAATCCTATACAACCATAAATGTAAATATAGGCAAAAAAAAAACGGGAATTAGTTGAGTTGATATTGCTGAACTGAAATATTTTGACAAGTGCTTGGGTTATTTTTATTGGATATGTTCCCATGAAACAGTTTGGTTTCAATAAAACTTTTTTTTTCGATGAAAATCTGTTCTTCTTATCAGCTGTAGGTGTAAAGAAAAAATCTGATTATTTTTCTTGCTCTATTTTTCTCAACTGAAAGTTATAAAAGCCTGCCATGGCAGTTACAATGGCAAAGTGTTCACATCTCAGCTGCAATAAGGTAATGTTTGTAGGCAAGTTGTTATGCCTGCATGCCCTGAATTGTATGTCAGTGTGCTTCCAGCTCTTGCTGTTAGAGGCTAAAGCACTGCTAATGTGACTCAAGAGCCAGGATTTGCTCTGCCTGTTCTGATGAGGATAACAGAATGCTGAGCTGTGGAAGGTGTGCTGGTTGGGGTAGGTTGGAAGGTTTTGCTGAAGCAAAGGAGTCCTGAAGTGTTCAGGTTTGGTTCTCAACAATATGCAGGATGCCAAATAGGATGGGTGGCTCTTTGAGCTGAAGCAGAGGTGTGTGACAAGGGAGGGGCTCTGGCTGAGCACTGAGTGCTGGCTCATTGTGTCCTGTTCCTCCATGATGTAGACCATTCTCTTCTGCTTTTACCTCCTTCTCAAAATGGTGTTTTATGATTTTCGGGGCTCTAATGCAGGTCACTTTCCATTATATACTCTACAGGAGTCTGGGGGCACAAGGGGAAGATACAAATTCATTTAGAGTTTAAGTTTGGTGAACAGAAAAGAACTGAACTTTTTTGCTTCTGGAAGAAATGACTCTTGGATAGAGAAATACAATAATTATGATATTTTGAGGAAGGTAACATACTTTAAAATATCATCTTTCAGGAATTATATTTCCAATTTTCTTTGTTTAAATACATCCTCACATTGAATCTTTACCAGGGAACCAACAAATAAATTGCATTTCTCCATCCCTTTCTCCAGGATCCTTCCTTGCTGAATGACAGAGTGACACTGCATCAGGTTACTGCTGGGACTGTGCTGTCAAGGCAGGGAGATCAGGTGGGTGAGCACCCTCTGGCAGTGGGGGGGAGAGAGAACACAAGGGTCTGGTTTGATCTTTTGTTCCCACCATAGGAGAGGAAAAGACAAAGACTCTGATCAAAAATGCTCCCTCACCTTGGCCTATCCCAAGCCTTCTTATTACCAAGCAATCCCAGCTCTCAGCTTCTCCTCATATGCAGAGTAACAGTGTGGCCAGAGCTTCAGTGAAAATCTTGTACTCCTCTTTTTACCTTTTTCTGCCCCTTCATGAACAGGTATGCTGGCCAAACAGCTTTTTATTCTTCTTTTTTTTTTTTTTCCCTCATATTTTTCTTACAGGTTTTGTGCTGCAGGCCTTGGTGTTATTACTCCATGTTATTTGTTTTTAGCAAAGTATGTTCAGGATATAATGTGTTTATAATAACACAATGGAAATAGACAAGCTTATGCAAAGCAAATGAGGGGCAGGCACAACTAGAATGCTGCTATATTCTGTTTTGCTGAACTGCAGTATCTCTCACTGTGCTGCAGTGATTACCCCACTATTTCCATTCCCAATCCTGTTTTTATTTCTTGAGCTCTTCCAGATGAAGATTCAATTTTTCATAACCGTGCAAAGAGAAACACATTTTTCAATATTGTGGCCATTTAGTTTTAAATATTCATAACCTTTTAATAATTCACTGTCGTATTTTACTTTCTCACCTAACGGTTTAAAAGCTGCAGAGGGCCTTCTGGAAAACAGATTGGCCATGATAGTACTTTCATTGTGATAATTGCTTTTGAAATCTTTGGGGACTTCATTGAGCTTTGTCTCCATTTTCTCCAGGATGTTAATGTTTGCTTTGTGGTCTCGGGGATGCTTCACGTGTACCAACAGAAGATCGACTCTGAGGAGGACACCTGCCTGTTCATTACTCACCCAGGAGAACTCGTGGGCCAGCTTGCTGTTCTCACTGGGGAACCACTGATTTTCAGCATCAAGGCCAATCGAGACTGCATCTTCCTGTCTATTTCCAAGTCCCACTTCTATGAGTAAGTTCTGCCATGGAAACTAGTATTTAATTTTTTGAAATGTATTTTATGACTCTTTTGAACCAACAGTGAGTGATTAATGTATGTACAGTGCAATTCTACAACAGTACAACTTGTAGTGACTCAAGAAAACTTATGTGAGCTTTTAAATGCTCAGATGAGCTCTGACCCATCTATCAGTAGGTTTTTTATCTTCAGCAAGAGGTAATGCAAGGAACGTGGCACTATTAAATGGTGATTATCTCCTTCATTCTAGGTTTACAGAGCATTTTGCCCTGTGGGCTGTGATTTATGGCCTGAGATTCACAGGCTTAATAATCCAAATAAGTGAATCCGGCCAGAGACTGTTCTTTGCTGGCTTAAGCACTTTTTTGTCAGGCCATTTTCCTGAGCACGTGATTCCTTTTTTGCTGGAGAACCATATCAGTTCTCTTTCTTTCTCAACTCTTTCTGACTCCATCAGAGTTGATTGGCCCAGGTAGGTGTTGTGAGTGACTGGTCTTGGTGTAACTGTAGGTGACAGTGCTCACCAACAGCACAGGTCAAAGAATAATGCTCCTGTGCAAAATGGATTCCTTTCTGGAAATAATACTTGACTTTTGACTTAAAGTGAGTGATGATATTTAGTAGTTAAAACCCTCACCCAGACACACCCACCACTGGTAAATGTCTGTGGCTAGTCTCAGTGTCTTGTATCAGTGATGAGTGTTCTTGATTCTACAATGTATCTATGAAGCTATTGTTAAGACAATAGTTCACAAACATGATTTTAATCAAATACCTCAATTTCTAAACTACTTCTTCAGCTACTTCTTGAGTGTGCTATCAGTTTGGAGTCGGGCTTCTTCAAGTTGTCTTTTCTAGGCTGCTACTATGTTATGTAGTTCTGTGTACTTTTTACTTTCTAAGTAATTTTAATTATGTGTTTGTGTTCCTAATAATTTCTACCGGAGTCTTATTCTGTAGCCTTGTCTTTCTACCTCAGGCAAAAGATTGTATTCTGCAAAACTGAATACACTGCTCTTGGTTGATCAGCTGTATATCTGCAAACCTGTGTGTTGGATATCAAATATTTGGTTTAATTTCTGATAGGTACTCCCCTGTTGTCCCATCCCATGAAGTATTAGATACATTTCCACTGAACTTTTAGTTCTTTATTGTTTTCCTACTTGTTCTTAACTGGAAATTACATTTTGTATTCTCAGCCAACCATCAAATTTCTTCCTTTTTCCTCTCTTCTGCAGTTCTGATATCTGATAGAGTCCTGGGCAGACTCTCTTATTTGCTTGAGAGCATTTTTGTGATGTTTCCCTTCTTATGTACTAAGAACTGAGTTGTCTTTCGTTTATGTCAGCTTCCATTTTTGCTTCCATGAATCTGTCAGTGATCTCTAACACAACAGAGTACCACCTTGTCATCATTTTGTGGACCTTTCCATATCTTTCTTTTTCTCTTTGAAATGTTGTTGCCCATTCACTGTATTTTACTGTCTCTATGAATCTTTCAGCATTCAATCATCACGGTTTTTCATGAAGTCATTTCTAACTCTCGTTCCCATATTTAAAAATGTCATTGCAGAGAGTCTTTCACAAGCATCTGCCTTCATCATCTGTTTTATTTTTGCTTCAAATTGTCTGAGAAAAGAGACTTATTGCTAAAGCTTTATTTCTCACTTTTTATGCAAACGTTTTGTGTGTAGTCCTGCAATCATAGGCTTTCTCTCAGAATCTTGCAGGTTTGAGTTATATGTTTTTGTGATCTGATCTTACTGACCAGAAGTAATTTGACCAGAACCTTCATTATTCCCATTGTTCTCCAACAACTCTTTCTTCCTTTCTTGTCACATACATTACTCTTTCTCTGAGCTGTCCCAGAACACTGGCTGTTTTTTCTCAGTAGTTAATGAGAAGGTGAAGCAGAAAGAACATGGTCAATAGAGGCTGTCAGGCAAACAGCACAGAAATGGAAGTAGCTCAGGGTGCAGAATTGCAGGTTGGATGTTGCACAAGAGATGAAGTCCTTTTCACTGAAACCTTGCAGCAGGAGACTTTCATGTGATGCTAATGTGCCTAAATAATGATCTGTACATGCAAAGTTTAAGTACAGGGGTGACACAAGCTAATTATACAGTTTATACCTTAAATGTTTTGCTATTTTGCTAAAGTGATGTGCTAAAAGTACAGTGCCTGCACTGCAACTGCTGGTGTCTTCTGGTGAATAATGTAACCGAGGCTCTCTTGAGGAATATGCTCGGATTCCTCAGTACTGGGAGTAGGACTCTGTCACACTTTTCCTTCAGTGGATTTCACAGTTTGGAGTCTAATCACGTATGTTTGCCAGAGAAGTTGAAGTGCTTCGATTTTTATTTTGTATTGCTAGCCAAGCTGAGCATCAAATCGCATCCACAGCCACAAGAATATCTGCATGATATATCCCAGGCTGTCACAGGCACCAGAGTAGCCCTTTCATTTTGGTAGTTGGTTAGCTTGCTAACAAATAATTGTCAGAGGAACACTTCAGCAACAGACTTTTGTAATAGAGAGCTTTGGCTTTTCATTTTCCCCATGCCAGGCATGTGCCAAGCAGAAGAGAAAGATGAAAATGCCCCCTAAAAGGAAGTAAACTAAGCTGATAATGTAGAGAAAAATCCACTTGTCTTGTGCATGAGGGTGGACTGTTACCTTCCATGCTGATATACTCTTGAAGCTGTATAGCACTCGGTGAAATAATAAACAGCTCAGGTCTGGAATAAAAGCAGCCTCTCTCCAGTTTACATTTAGAGTGCATTAAGTATTAAGATACATATCTTGAGGGAGGGAAAGGTATAAATGGCTTTTATTGATCACAGCAGTCAGCCTGTGTGGGAGGAGACTTTGAGAGTGGAATAAGCTAGTAAAGTAAACATAATGAGCTAAAGCATTCAGGAGATTTCAGGGAGTTTATTTAACCTTTAGAGCAGCTGAGAAGGCGTTGTTGTAGACTGGGATTTTTGTGTGCATTAAGGGATTAGGGCTTTTTGCATTCTGGTGTTTATTCTGGGATGCCTTTTCCAGTTTCTTTGTCCTTTCCCCCAAGTCACTGTTAGTGTGGTAAAGCTTCTGTAAGGTAACGCATTGCTTGCGAGTGCAATAGTAGCTTACCAAAACCTGGGTTGTCTGTAGGCATCTTGGGTAGGGGACACTGAGGGCATGGAAACCTCAGGGCAAGATGGAAGGGACAGGAGAGGAAAGCTGCCTCAGTTCTGTAATCCTGTTTTGATGGCTGAACTTTAAATAGTTGTTTAGCTCACCTTGCAGCATGTGTGAGTGCACAGACATGAGCATAGTGAGTTCAAGACAGAGTAGGGATATAATTCTGTGAATCTTTTCTGTTTCAAATTCAGAGGTTTTAGTTGAAGAAATTCTAAACTTTATTATTGCAAAAAGAGGACCTTGAGGAACTGGATAAGTAGAGTGGTCGTGTGATAAACATGAAAGCTCCCTATGGTACCCATGCATGCTGCACTTGATGCACAGTGGTGGCCAGCTCTGGATCTCTTGCTGCAGCTGTTGGATTAATCAATGGTAGAACTGACATGTTCAAAACACTATGGGGCAGTTTCTGTGCTTCATCCAGGCAGGGAAGAGCTCGTGAGTCTGCTTTTGATACCACATTCAGGGATGACGTGTCAGCATTCAGACTTTCTCTAAATTCTCCTAGGTTACAACGAGCTGTATTTCAGCTGAGGAACAAAGGCTGCCTGTGCTACTTCCATGCCATTCTCCCTGCCTTTCTGTTTTATAGGGTAAGAAGGTTAACTGTGGCACTCAAAACATTTGTGCTTAGTGAGAACTCCCACACGTGCAGGGTCTCCTAGGCAGAATGTCTGGAACACTGATGCAGGAAAAAAATACTGTGTATTTCAGACTTTCTTTTTTCTCCCTATGCGTGGCTTTAACATGACTGTCATCTTCCTGTGTTTGTCCTTTGTGTACTGGCTCTGCATATGTTTACCCACTTGTTTCTTTCTGAATTGTGCTGCTTCTTTGTGAGATGCCCATTTTTATGGTACGTGCCACGATCCTCCAAGAGCTCAATTGCTCTCGATGCTGCAGAGGAACAGAAAAGATGTCCTAATGGGTGTGCATCTAGAGAAACGTGCAATCAGCTCACTGCTGTGGAGTGGTTCTTCAGTAAGAATTGGAGTGCTTACTCAGAAGGTGCCAGGTCACAGTGATCCTCATTCGAAAAGGAAAGAAAGAAAAACATTTGCTGGTGTCTGTGAGAGCTGTTTACCTCAAGCCTAGCAGTCAGTGTAGAATTCACATTTATCACTAACAGAACATTCCCAACATTTTTCAGCTAAGGGAAGTGCTTGATTATCTGGTTTATGTAATGCTAGGGGCCTTTCAGCATCACTCAGCAGATTCAGTATGAAGATCAGAAGCTTTGTTAGTTGTGGTCTTTGCAAAGGGAAAAGGGAACTTTTGAAATAACATGTGGGGGAAAACTGAGAGCACATTTGAGAGATGTAGAGGTGCAGAATGGCAGAGAGAAACAATCTTCAGGACAACATGAATGTTAACCTGAGTCAGGTCCTTTGTTTCTGAGTAGGAATTTTGGAGACTGGTCCATAAACAAGAGCTAGCTCTCACCCACCTCTGCCTGGATTGTTGTGTGTGTACCTATTTCTTCCTTTGGGAAGTATTTAAATAATGCTTCTCATCTTCTAGGATAATGCGAGAGCAGCCAAGTGTTGTGCTCGGCGTGGCCCACACTGTTGTAAAGAGAATGTCCTCCTTTGTGAGGCAAATTGACTTTGCCCTGGATTGGATGGAAGTTGAGGCTGGACGAGCTGTATACAGGTAAGACGAGGACAAAATTGGATGCTCTTTGTTTAATCCAACCTTAATGATTCTGTGATTATCTAACATTCAGGTTTTCAGAGTTAAGGAGCTACGCTTCCTTGGCGATATATGGAATAAAAACTCTTGGATTCAATTTATCAGCTATTTCATCAGGTTTTATCTGTTTTTTGTATGCTGAGATTTTTCTTTTTCTGCATCGCACTTCAACACTGCTTTTGTCGCTCGTCTCCAGGAGTTGTTAAAGTTCTTCTCTTCCTCATCCTTCGTGTCATCTTGACACGCTTTTAAAGTGGCATAAGAGATTAAGACACAGCCAGCTGTATGTTCTGGTATAATTTCTGCGTTTCCAAGGGCATGAATATCATCCACAGAGTTTTTTGGTCTTTCCAAAATAAACAACAGAACTGAAATAGAATTTGTTTAGAAATATTTAATAGTAAACTGAAAACAGGAATTGCATTTTAAGTTTCAGGGTAGAAGTTTTCCTTGGGAAAGCTTGTTTTTATGAATTTTGTACTAGGATGCAATTAAGTCATTGTATGATTGCAGTGGTGCAAAGGTCAAATTTAGTATGTGTACCATATAACTGTAATTTTAATGTGTATTACAATTCCTGCAGCACTGATGCTAGTGGAAGTTTGTCATTACTTTCTGTGTCAAAACAGATGTGGTAGTTAAGATCTTGTTAAAAGCTTTTGGAATTCCGTGCATTAATTTTAATTCTACTACAGAAGCATTGCATGTGGTCCATGTGCTGTGTTATGCTGGAAATCTGAATGCCAGATAGCATTCTCAGTCCTGCAGACTTGATGTTTCAAAACCTTACTGATCAACAGCACTGAGCTGAATCTAAATTCAGCTGAGCCACTCAAGTTTTTTTTTTCTTTTGGACCTGCAGACTTTCTTTGTGCATCCATATCAATTTTGCAGTGGCAGCAAGCACCTGCTGTACTCAGCAGTGAGCCTCTTCTCTCCTCCAGTGAGCACTTGCATTTTGGCTATCTATATCTGGATCATCCAGCTCAAACCCAGCATCATCCAGTTGTTCAAAGCCTGTTCATTTCAACCTACGTCCAAGTCACTTTTTAACGGATGTTTTTCACTTTCCTGTTTCCTTGTTCTGTTTAAATGTTGATTAAACTTTTTTTCTCGTGGTCTCTAAGCTTATTAAGAAGAGATGAAGACTTGGGATGCATTTGCTGAGCAGTGATAGTTCACTTGATTGTTCTTTCTCTAGGCAGGGTGACAAGTCAGACTGCACATACATCGTCTTGAACGGACGACTGCGCTCCGTCATACGGATGGATGATGGAAAGAAGCACCTGACTGGTGAATATGGCCGAGGAGACTTAATTGGAGTGGTAAGAGTCAGGTTTGGAGAACGAATGGTTCAGCTGAGAAAGTGGTATTGCCCCACACAAAACACTCATACTCTCATCAGGTGGTAGACTTTTCACAAGTTGAGAAGATGAAGTTGCTTCTATCTGGAAATTCGTATGATGAAACGTGGTTTAAAGAGGGAAAAAAATAAAACCTTCTCCTCACAGATGAACAAAAATCCCCAGGCAACACTTGTTTTGTTTTTCTAGTGTGGGTTACATTTGTTTCCACAGTGCGAGGAATGCAGCTGTTAAAATAATTCAGAAAGAACTGTAGGAATGTGCATTAAATACTGATTGAATAAATTTAGTATCATAGAAAGATTGAGTTGGCTTGGGCCACTGGATTCATCTAGACTAACATCCTTTGAGTTAGCAGAGCTAATTTCAGGGCTTCATCAGACTGGTAAGAAACTGTACAGTACTGAAACAAATTTTGATTTCGAAACTGTAGTATTTATCCATGTTTAATTTATTTCCTCTGTTTGTGTTTTAGTTTCTCAGGTTTAGTGAAACGATTGAAATGGGAATCCCCCATCATAAGTAGTCACAATTTGCTTGATTTTATATTTAAAACTAGAAGGCATCCAAAATGCTGAGGCTGTTTTTCCATCCTTCTACTTTCTGAGTTGAAAACAAAATGTTTTAATAGTATTTATAGCCAGAATTGGTTTATCTGAATACAGAAAGCGTGAGTTGGTATTAGTAGTACAGGAGGAAAGTCTTTACAGAGGTGAAGAGGGAGAGGAAGAACTCCTCCTCTGTTTTCCTTTAGAGAGCTGATTCAAGATCGTACTGATTGCAAAAGGTGGTGATTTTGGTAGAGGTAAGACCCAGAAGTTGTGTTCCCAGCATAGAAGAGGTCACTGCCAGCTTACCAATCAGTATGTGAGAATTGGTTGTTCCTGAATGCAGGTGGGTTGCAGAACTGGCCTGTGTCTGTGTTGTAAGACGAGGTCAGCTCCCAGCACCAGAGACCTGTGCTGCAAATACATCTCAGCTGTTTTGTTTGAGAGAAGTAAAAAGATTTCAAATAACAAGGGCGAAGTTTTGGGGCCTTTTTAATGTGTGCCCAACTCACTTTGATTTGCCTGGTAACTTACAACTAAGTTGTATATTGTTCTGAAGTGAACGTGATAACAATTCTGGTGGCATTCCCTGGAGAATTTGATGTGTTCTGGACTCGTGACTGCAGCATGTCTGTTTTAGTTACACGTGAGCAATAGTTCAGGTTATCTCTACAGGATCAGTGCTTGGAGAAGCAGTTCTATTTCTGCAGCCAGACAAGCTCACAAGTTTTCTTTGTTTTTGGGACTGTTTCTTTGGGATACCTCATTAAGAGTAAAATGGTGTGGTTTGGCAGGAACAAAAGCTGAGATCTTTTGTGGCTAATTGTGCTGGTGTGAGGTCTTGTAGTGTGTGAATAAGACTTTGACAGTTTTGAGGGGTCAGGCATTTCCTTGCTGTTAATTCCTAGTTCTTGTGTACTGGTTATAGTCACCAGCCGCTGCCAGGCTTCTGGAGCTACCAGGTTAAAACAGCTGAGAGAAGTTTTGGATGATGATGATGGAGCATGTGGTCTAATCTCTCTCTCCCTGTGCAAGCAGGGGTGCCACCTTCAGCACAAGGTTTCATAGTGGCTCAGCTATCTGCTGAGGGAAGAGAGGTTGGTTCCATCTATGTCTGCCCTAGCAGTGCTGTGTTTGTGGGTCCCTTCCCAGGTATGGGGGCAGAAATACTGTACGACTTATGTCTGAACTACTCTGGATCTGAGTGATGATTTGAGTCATTTGAAGACTTCTGTGACTCCATGGACGTCACCTACTCCTTCCTACCCATGGTTCCCAGGCCCACTGACTCATGCTGCCATTTGTTGAATGCATCTCAATGCTCTGCCTGTTTTTTGAAAACACGGGGGAGGATTTATAAAGATTGCCAAGATTAATGGAGTCGTTCTTTGCAGAGGGCATTAGTAAAATGACATTTTTCCTTTTAAAGAGATTTGTTTATCCCATTCTGCAAGATCTAGTATAAGCCTTTAAAAACGTGCTGAAGGTTTTTTTGTTGTTGTCTTTTCTTTGTTTTCCAGAAAATGAAGTCACTAGAAGTGCCTAGGTGCTTCCAGGAATCAAATTAGTACTTAGTATTGGTAGTTTGGTCAACCTGTGATGTGTACATCTCCAAAACTTTTCCAAGACCACCGTGTCACTCTGAGCTGTGTACATGAACTACAGATACAAGTCTTGTAATTGATGTATTTTTATTTACCTTTATCTCATATCTTTTAAGTTCTGTGTCATACGCATAGGAAATGAGTATCTGTCTTTTCTGCTTTCAGAAGTGAAGTCCTGAAACATGAAGGGCTTCAGATAAGATGTAAATTTTCAAGCATGTGTGTGCACTCCCAAGGATTAACTTGTGGCTCAAACTGTTTTGTTCTTTGCACTGACTCAATGGCATCTGTTCCTGAGGTCTGTCAGTCTGAGGAGAGAGGAACGGATTAGAAACTGAAATTTGCTTTCCTCCTGTTGTTACTTGGAGTTTCCTTGAGTAGTTGTGTGTGGGGAAGATGGGAGCCCTCCTAGAGGGACTCTGCCAGCTGCTTTCTGCTGCTCATCCCACTGATGGGCACTTCTGGCTGCTGTATCAGGTAATATCAGAACTTGTTTGAAAGCCTTCTGTCTGGTTTCCAGTGGGCAACGATGAATCTACTCAGTAATCCCCTCATGTTTAAATACAGTTTGTGACAGTGCTGTTGTGTCGAGGCTCTGGTTTGACCCTTCTGGGGGAGACTCTTTGAACTTGTTGGTGCTAATTCCTACAGATGAGCTTGTGAAAAACCTTGGGTTGTTAACAGTTAATGAAGCTATAAAGAAGTTATGTGAGCTAAAGGGTACCTATGCTGGCATTGGCTCACCTATGCCCAGCTGTCCTCCAGAGGAAATTAAATTCTAATTCTGCTGTGTTTGGTGCTAGGGATTCTCCTCACTAGTTGTTTAAAATGCCGTATTGGGTCTTTTTAGTTCTGATCTTGGTCAACTGCTGCATATCGAAGTTTTTACTCTTGATTTTGATCTCATTCATGGATTTTTTTTGAGAAGGAGGATTCCTTTTCATTTTCATGTTCATTATGCCTGGTGGTATCAGGCAAACTGGCTCATTGGTTGACATGTAGCATTGGCTCCAGCACAGCTCATGAGACTGAGAGGAGCTCAGAAGAGTTCTTCTGTGCTTTTTGTTGTTTCTTTATTTGTGTGTGGGTTCATATTGATTTTTTTTGTTTGTTTTTTGTTGTTTTTTTTTTACAGTCCCAGGTAGGCTGTGGGATTACAACCCCAAGCATGGGTTGAGGTGGGTGTTTCTTGCTTCTTGTGTTGTTGGACTGGCATTGCTAGATGAGGAGGAGGAGGAGGGAAAACAAAACAAACTAACACTATCCTGCAGAATAATCTGCCAAAGAAAAGCTATTTGTATTCTGCCTGCTCCCTTCAAATATCTGGATGAGGATGGAACCTTCAATGTAATTAGCTTTTTATGAAAGTTAACATTTTGTTTTAAGTGAGTTCCTGAAGAAAAACCACAGTGTTTCTAAGATGACTGAATAGCAGGCAGCTCGCAGGGGAGTCGGTGGCAGCTGTTGAGCTTTTAGTATGTTTAAAAGTGGGGCTGTTGCATGCCTTGTAGCTAGACTTACCTGTAGCCACCTGCTCCAGGAAACTGCTGCATCTTACCAGGAGACCAGCTGGCTGTCAGAAATGCCCTGCTGGGGAATTTGCTGCAGCGTTTTGGTTACTTCAAGATCCTTCCTGCCCTTCTCTAAGACTCAGAACATCCCTTCTTACTTGGAGGATTTCATTCAGTTGTGGGTAGCAAAACAAGTGCAGAAAGGCATTTGTGCACTGCTGTTCTCCCTGCAGGGCAGCACAAGGAGATGCACTGCCAGTGCTGCAGCGTATCGCACCAGTTGTGCTGTGCAGGAAATCGTGCTCTACACTCCAGAAATAATGGCTGTTGCAAGTGTTTTTAGGTGCTGAGCTGTTCATCTCGTTAATGTTAACATAGCTCAGCGTGCATGGCTTTTTTTCTCTCTAAAAAGTTAAAACCCAAGATAATCTGTAAATGGCTTCTGATTTCCTCAGGGGTTTGGAGCGCTGTCCTTTTTGAAATGTACCACTGTTAGAAATGTTTAATTGCTGAGTAATCCTCAAAGGGAACACCGGTATCAGGATTACACTTGTCAGGCTTTTATTCCTTATCAGTATTAATGCTGCCATATACTGCCTGCTCTCAGCAGCACCGAGCTCACTGAATAGCATTTTACCCTCAACAACAGCACTAAAACCAGGCAAGTTTCACTCTGTCAGTGCTGGTTCCATTGCTGATTTGCAAGTGGAAGATTTTTTTCCCTTATTACTTGCATGTGATTATATTCAAACCATGAATTCTTTAGTTCCTAAGCTTTAAGGCACTGAAAAATGAGAGGTTAATTCAGGATTAATGGCACCTCAGGCGCTCTGTGCACAGCCTGTATCTGTGGAAACTGGAGGTGGATGAGGTCCAGGAGTCGCTTGGTATTGAGCTGGAACACGTGGGTCTGGAGGGAGGTGTTCTCTTGCCATCTCTTGCACCGCCTGTCTTGGTAATATGTTACTAAAATTATTTTTTGCCTAGTATCTTAGGTGTGAAGTTGTAAAGAAAAACAAAGATAGCAGCATTTACCGGTGGAGAAATGAGACATGGGAAGCTCTGAGAAATGAGCTCACACTTGCACAGCTGAATTTGTGTCAGACTGAAATTAGAAGCTCAGTGTCCTGATTTCCAGACCTACCTTAGAGATGTTCTTGGCTGAAGGGAAGTCATTGCTCTGAGCCTGCTGGACCTCACCTTCCCAGATCTTTCCCAGGGCTTCTTCATGGTGGGAGCTGTTGAATAGTGTATATTTTTCAGGTTCTCATGCCTGCCACAATTTATTCTTTTATCTT